CCTCCCTCACCAATGATTCCCATTACATTGCTAGTCCACAAACCCACTCCTCTCAGCTCCAGTTTTTCAAAGGCTATGTCTACACTACGGGATTAATCCGAATTTACAGAATTCGATTTTTGGCAACAGATTGTATAAAGTTGAATGTATGCGGCCACACTAAGCACATTAATTTGGCGGTGTGCGTCCATGTACCGGGGCTAGGGTCGATTTCCGGAGTGTTGCACTGTGGGTAGCTATCCCATAGCTATCCCATAGTTCCCACAGTCTCCTCCGCCCATTAGAATTCTGGGTTGAGATCCCAATGCCCGATGGGGCCAAAAACATTGTCGCGGGTGGTTCTGGGTACATCCTCCCCCTCCCTCCAGGAAAGCAACGGCAGACAACCGTTTCTCACTTTTTTCCTGGGTGAACAGTGCAGACGCCATACCACAGCAAGCATGAAGCCCGCTCAGCTCAAGACAGCAGTCATGAACATTGTAAACACCTCGCGCGTTATAGTGCAGTTTATGCTGAACCAGAACCTGCAAAACCAGGCAACGAGGAGTAGGGCTATGGCAGCACGGCGACGAGAGTGATGAGGACATGTACATGGAATTCTATCAAACCACAGGCCCTGGCGCTTTGGAGATCATGCTGTTAATGGGGCAGGTTATAGCCATGGAACGCCAATTCTGGGCCCATGAAACAAGCACAGACTGGTGGGACCGCATCGTGTTGCAGGTGTGGGATGATTCCCAGTGGCTGCGAAACTTTCGCATGCGTAAAGGCACTTTCATGGAACTTTGTGACTTGCTTTCCCCTGCCCTGAAACGCCAGTATACCAAGATGAGAGCAGCCTAATTGAGAAGCGAGTGGCGATAGCCCTGTGGAAACTTGCAACGCCAGACAGCTACCGGTCAGTCAGGAATCAATTTGGAGTGGGCAAATCTACTGTGGGGGCTGCTGTGATGCAAGTAGCCAAAGCAATCTCTGAGCTGCTTCTACCAGAGGTAGTGACTCTGGGAAATGTGCAGGTCATAGTGGCTGGCTTTGCTGCAATGGGATTCCCTAATTGTGGTGGGGCGATAGATGGAACCCATATCCCTATTTTGGCACCAAAGCACCAGGGCAGCCAGTAAGTAAACCGCAAGGGGTACTTTTCAATGGTGCTGCAAGCACTTGTGGATCACAAGGGACATTTCACAAACATCAACGTGGGATGGTCGGGAAGGGTTCATGACGCTCGCGTCTTCAGGAACACTACTTTGTTTAAACGGCTGCAGCAAGGGACTTATTTCCCAGACCAGAAAATAACAGTTGGGGATGTTGAAATGCCTATAGTTATCCTTGGGGACCCAGCCTACCCCTTAATGCCATGGCTCATGAAGCCATACACAGGCAGCCTGGACAGTAGTCAGGAGCTGTTCAACTACAGGCTGAGCAAGTGCAGAATGGTGGTAGAATGTGCATTTGGCCGTTTAAAAGGTCGCTGGTGCACTTTACTGACTCGCTCAGACCTCAGCCAAACCAATATTCCCATTGTTATTGCTGCTTGCTGTGTGCTCCACAATCTCTGTGAGAGTAAGGGGAAGACCTTTATGGTGGGGTGGGAGGCTGAGGCAAATCGCCTAGCCACTGATTACGTGCAGCCAGACACCAGGGCAATTAGCACACCAGGAAGCGCTGCGCATCAGAGAAGCTTTGAAAACCAGTTTCATGACTGGCCAGGCTACCATGTGAAAGTTCTGTTTGTTTCTCCTTGATGAAAACCCACCCGCTTGATTGACTCGTTCTCTATAAGCAACCCACCCTCCCCCTTCGATCCCAGCTTGCTTTCAAAGGAAATAAAGTCACTATCATTTAAAAATCATGCATTCTTTATTAATTGATTATAAAAAGAGGGAGAGAAATGACAAGGTAACCCAGGTGGGGTTTGGGAGGAGGATAGGAGGGAAGGAAAAGGCCACTAAAAAAGTTCAATATAATGACAGCCTTTTGGTTGGGCTCTCCACTGGGGTGGAGTAGGAGGGTGCACGGAGCCTCCCCCCCGCGTTCTTGCACATTTGGGTAAGGAAGCTATGGAACATGGTGAGGGGGGAGGGAGGTTATACAGCAGCTGCAGTGGCAGTCTGTGATCCTGCTGCCATTCCTGAAGCTCCGCCAGATGCCGGAGCATGTCCGTTTGATCACGCAGTAGCCCCAGCATTGCAGCCTGCCACCTCTCATCTCGAGCATACCTCATGGCCTCACGTTCACTGGCATCTTTCCTGTACTTTAATACTGTGTCTTTCCATTCATTCAAAAGTTTGCAGGGCGTTTCTTGTCTACCTGGCCAGTGCATTCGAGTTCAGATTGCTGACCAGAGAGGTCACAATGGTGCACTGTGGGATAGCTCCCAGAGGCCAATATCGTCGAATTGCCGCCACACTAACCTTAATTCGAAATGGCAATACCGATTTCAGCGCTACTCCCCTCGTCGGGGAGGAGTACAGATATCAATATTAAGAGCCCTTTATATCGAAGTAAAGGGCTTCATTGTGTGGATGGGCGCAGGGTTAATTCGGTTTAACGCTGCTAAATTCGAGATAAATTCCTACTGTAGAACACGCCAAAGAGTGATGACTCGAGATAGGTTTCTCTTCCAGAAACGCTTTCTCTGCCTCAAGACATAATGCAATTGCAAATGAAAAGGATTCTCTTTTATTAATCACAGGGGTTTTTTATTCAAAGAAAAACTGCAGAGAAACCTCAACATTAATGAAAAGGTGATTTTAAGAAAATGTCAGTTTCTTTTTTGGGGGGCATTACAAACTTGTTTGCACCTTTATTAAATATTAAAATATAGTTATAAGAATGTTACAGCCAACATGTCCAAAATATTACAATATATATTATATCTAGTTTTGTTGCAAAAGGTTAAAACTAACCAATTTCAACAGGTTTCTATTGTTGTCGCCCAAGCACAACCAAATATAAAAGTTTAATACCCTCAATGTGTTTGCATAGACCTGCCTTTAAACTGCATTTGGGTTTCATTTTATACTATTTTCATCTGTTATGTTATGTTAAAAAGACATGGTGGTTGTTAAAGTTTGTGCTTTCAGACAGTTAACAAAAGTTGAATTGCTATCACAGGGGAAATTAAGAAATTTGGGTAAATATTCTGTTACTAACTCATTTGCTAAAACAGAGAACTCAGCTGGGGAGAGCAATTCACCTTCTCACAGAAGATTGTTGTGAGCACCTATTTTAGCAGTTAAGCCCTATATTTAGTATAAATAATTAGTAACGCACATGGCAAATGAAAATGAATGTGGATACAACAACTGCAAAAGCATGTAAAACAGGTACATTCATGCTAAAGAATTGGGAAAATCAGAACAAAAACATAGTTTGTACTATAAAAGACTTGGTACCTATTACACGAAGGAAAGTTAACCTGTGTATTAAATTTTGGTTATTGAAAACCAGAGAAATGTAAAACAAACAAGCAAAAACTTGATTACATTAACCAACTTAAGCTGTTTAAGGGTATACCAATGACCAAAGACATCAAAGGACATCAGAGAACAGTGAAACCCTTGAGTGTTGGAAGAAGAAAAGATAAAGTGCCCTATAAATAAAAATCTTGTCAACTATACCTCAGTCTATCACATAGGGACAACTGAGTATGCAATCGTCTATGGCGACATTATAGAAATAACTACTTGGGCCAGATCTAACAGTTATTTAAACTGTAAATTATTAAGCAACATGAGTTCCGATGCCTGTGATTTTAAATGTTTATCACTGGAAAATCACTAACATTTTGTTACTATGTAAAGGCAACTGTACCTTTCTTTTCAGTAACATGCATGGAACCTGAAGACTGGGCAAAAGACTATTCCAGAGTCTGATATCTCTCAAACTAGGAGACTCCAAAATTGAAATGGAATTATGGGTTTCATTTCAAGATTATCTGAATCTGGAGTATCTATTTGGAACAGAGTTATATATATATATATATATATATATATATATATA